GTTTTGTCATCATCGAAACGTTGTACATTTGCTGTCATGTTAAACTTATATTAAAGTTTTTCTTCATTACCCATTTAAGCCGTCTCCAGCCATTATTAATAAGTATATGGTTTTGAACGAACTGCGCATGCGTATTTTAGACCTAACTAAGTCGAGAAAGCCCATAGCAATTGTATCTAGTGTAATTTTCATGTTTTTAGGAAATTACACACGGGTTAAGTGTTGTTTGTGTGAAATGCTTTGCAAGTTAAAAACTAAAGTTGAAATCGAAGCCACATGTCAAGTGATGACAAAGACATTGTGCCATCCTGTAGCATACTTGTTGCATTAAAAAGTTTGACTAAGCAAAAAAACATGTAAGGTGATTCAGAATAGAAAAACTACCATGTAATTCGGACTCCTCGGACAAAGGCTTTTCTAATGATATGAGATTTGTAGCGTTTGATCGAGAAATTTGCGAGAAAACTTCCGGACAGACAAACGCAAGCGTATCATTTATGTAGATAAAAGTTTTGAAATTCGATACATTAACTAGCATATTCAATACTGTTCATGAATTTAAAAATAAGTAATTAATATAGTATGCCTCTTTAGATAACACAGAATCACTAGCTGTTAGTTTGAAATATTGGTCTTTTGAACAAGGAAACTCATTAAGCCACTCCTACTCTATAATATCAGAGGCGAGTCACATCTGTAACAGTTTAAGAAGTATGTTATAGTTTAAGCCATATATATAGTTATTAGCAGTAATTTTCCAATATAATTACCCAAAGTGATGTTTATGAAAATACAAAATGATAAAAAATAATAAAATATTAGCTGAACTGATCATGATAACATAACAATGTAGTGTAAAATAAAAACTTACCACAAACCTTATTTTAACTATCCCGTGTAACAAACACATAGATTTGGCTATAGTTAGTAATAAATAACATTAAATCTTTTGTAAAAGCCAAAAAGGCATCACGATAAGCCTGTAGAAAATAGTACTATAAAAATAATAACATATAGT